ATTACTTTAATTGAAATTCCCATTATCGATTTTCGAATTTGATCAAGAATTTCTTCCCAATTATGATTATCAAGTTCTTTAATTTTAGACAATATTAATTATTTTGATCGAATTTTTAATTATTGCATCGCGTAATTTAATTGACAATTTTCGTTTCTGTTGTCATTTTATTATTAATATTATTTTTACATATAAAAATTAAATGAATTTTATTTCGCTTTTTAATTTCAATTAAATTTCCTGATTCAGTTTCTTTAATTCCAAGTAATAAATAAAAAACATTTTCTTTTTGCAATATTTGGGCTCCTTAATCACAAGGTTTTCCGTCCGCGGATAAAAAATATAAATAATTTTCTTTTTGTATAAAAATTTGGTCTCGAATATTTATGATGCTATGTTTTTGTGCATGCGTCTCTATTTGTTTTTGAGTTTGATCATTAATTTCATCAAAGCTAATTTCATTATATATATCAATTTCTTTTTCATCTTCGCTTTCATTGTCTTCCTCATCATCTTCGAAATTTTTTCTTAGTCTTTATCATCTTCATCATCGTCGTCTTCATTGGCATCATTTTCAAAAGTAGTTATATTATTTATATTACTAGCATTATAGACGCGCGCTCCGCGCGCGCTATTTAACTGCACTTTTTACTTTTTACTATTAATTTACTATAATTATACATAAACCTCAATACATATAATAACTGTCAAAAGTCAATGCCATGACAGCCACTCACGAAGTTAGCGCAACGAGAGAACCATTCAGCGTCGCGGAAAAGAGGCAACAAAACTTCGAGAGATGCGAGTATCGATGTCATGCCTTTTTTTAGATAGGACTAGCACGCAGCGCGCGCTTCGCGCGCGCCATCTACGATTATTATAAATTCCATATAATTACAAAAAAATCCTCTTTACCTCACCCTCTCCCCACCTTCTCTCTCTTTTTCACTCTCTCTCTTTTTCCACACCTCTATCTTTCGCTCCCACTTTTCTTCCCTCTCTCTCATTCGTTCTTTAATCTTGTTCTATCTTCCTCATCTATCTCTCCTTTTTCCCGTTATCCACCAGCACTCTACGATATTCCTTCTGCCAACTCCCTTTCTCATTCCTCTCTGTCTAACTCCTGCACTTCTCCCACAAGTCTGACTTCATTTTGTTTCCTAACCTGATAGTTTCCTTTCCCTCTCTGCTCTTTCGTTCACATCTCTTAAGCACGTCTGTGCAATTACGCTTCCACTACCTTCCTCCAATCTCCTCTCGAATCCCCCTGCCCTTCCACTTGCTCTATTAATTCCCTCTGTACCATCTCCGTCACTAAACATCCTGGTATCCTCCCTTCTATACAAAATTATATATTAGAAAATTTACTTTAATATAATTATATATTAGAATATTTTTAATTTGATTAAATATAAAATAAAAATTTTTTAAAAATTCTTTAAATTCAATAATTTATAAAAACTAAATTTAACTTTTTAAAATTTTTGCTTTAA